TAACCTCAGCGCTGTTGCTAGATAAGGCGCTGAAGCTAGCCGCTGGTTTGTCCAAGGTCACACAGCTCAAAAGTGGGAGCTGGGCTCTACCCACAGCCAATGTCTTCCCCCGTCCTCCCTCCTGAGCCTGCATCCTGCAGCTTTTATTTCATTGCAGTTTTGGACCAGACCTGGTGGTGCTCAGTGATACTCCCGGCTTGGCGCTCAGATAGCCAGGAGGTGCTGGGGAACAACCCTAATGCCTCTGCGTGCAAAGCATGTGCTAAGATTTTTTTTTTCATTAAAAAAATGTTTTGGGGTGCGGGTGGAGAGATAATCCAGCAGATAGGTCACTTACCTTGTATGCAGATTCTATGTGGTGCCCCAAGCCCCACCAGATGTGATCCTTGAGCAGAGAGCCAGGCATAAGCCCTGAGCACCACTGAGTGTGCCTCCCTCACCAAAAAAAAAAAAAAACCCACAACCAACAACAACAAAAAATTCCCCCCCCCACTAAATTATTTTTCTTCTGCCTGTAGTGCTTGAGATCAAACCCGGGGCTTCGTACATACAAATCAAATGCTCTGCCACTGAGCCATATCCTTTGTCAGAAAAAAACATTTTATGGGGATCACCCCCTGCCATGTTCAGGGGGCTCTCAGGACCACTCCTGGTACTGGGCATGTGGGTTTGATGGTTTGGTACTAGGTCCCGGCCGAGAAATGCTGCTTGGGGCCACTGAGCCGAGCCTCTGGCAAATTCATGAGGTGCCAGGGACTGAATTTGGACATGGCTTTCTCTCTCCCTGGGGGCCATGTCCCAGCGCTGGATCTGAGCTCTATCGCACCAATCCCCATAGCCTCAAACCTCACTCCGTCTCTTCCAGCCCACAAAGGGCTCCTGCTGTGGTCTTCTCTAGCACAGGACTTGGCATCTCGAATTTTCAGGAGGGCTTGTTTCTGGGGCCAGGCAGAGAGGGGAAGCCCGTGGGAAGTCACTGGCCAGAACCTCCCCCTCAGCCCCGCCCCTGGTCAGCCGAGTCCCTGCCCAGCTCCCCGTCCAGACTGCCTGCTCGAGGAAGTCTCGGAGGCAAACAGGAAGCATGAGAGGCGCCCAGTGCTGGGATTGCTCACCCTTGCACAGGGAAGGCAGCGAGTATGAAGTAGGCGATCGCATGGCTGAGAGAAGGGAAAGGTGGCCGCGTGGAATGGAGGAGGAGACAGGAGACCGTTCGGCCTCTGCGTAGAGGGCAGCCCCAGGCCGCCACCTCCACTCATGTAGGAAACTGGTTCTTGCAGCACTGAGGTCTCGACTCCTCTGCTCCGGGATTCTGATCCGGCTGGTCAGTGTCACCGCGCATTTACGGAGAAGGGCCCTACGGAGAAGGGCTCTGGGACCACGGACCCACAGTGGCCGATGCCAGTAGGAGCAGTGTGGCCTTTCCTTGCCCTTCCTGTCCCTCCTGCCAGTCCAGGAGCCTTACCCCTCTGCCCTCTGAAGTGTCCCAAGGCCGGTACTCTCACCCGGTTCCTGATGCTCCCTTCCTCTGCTCTGCCCTTCCTGCTTTCCATCGGTGTAATGTGCTCTCTCACACACGCTGGGAATCTCAGCTTGGTTGTGATGCCCTGGAGCCCTGTGGAGGTCCCCTGCAGAGAGCTCTGCCCCTGAGCCAGCCCTGGACACGCCCCTTCCCTGCAGGCTCACAGCTGGCCCTGTCTGGTTTGCCCTTCCAGTTCCTTCCTTGTGCTTTGTTGTGCAGTGCCTGGAATCAAACCAAATCCAGGGCCTCACACATGCAAGGCAGGTGTTTGCTACTGCCGGAGCTAGATCTCTGGCCCCTTCAGGGTCTGTTTGTTTGGTTTTCATTTTTGTGGGGAAACAAGGGAGGGGGGGTGGGGGGGGAAGGTGTTCGGGCCATACTAGGCTTAGTGGTTTACACCTGGCCATGCTAGGATTGGGCGGTGCTGGGGATCAAACCAAATCAGTCGCATGCAGGGCCTGCATCTTAAACCTCGTATGTACTGCCTCTCCAGCCCAGGCTCTGGTTTGGAGGATAGGTCACGGCAAGGCTGTGCACATTACAGCAGCCACAGGGAACGCTCCAGGAGGAAGTCCATCCTCCCCGGGTGTTTTTCCTGGTGATAAAATATTTTTTTGTTTTTTAAATGTCTTAAAAAAGCAAAAGTTCCATGGACAGTGATCCTTAGATCATTTTGTATCTCAGAAGAATGTGGTTTCAGCTTTAGCTCTTGTTTTGATTTTGTTGCTTGGGCCACACCTGGCAGCTGAGGGCTAACTCCTGGCTCTGGGCTCAGGAATCACCCCTGGAGGGGCTTATGAAACCATGTGTTGCTTTGGGGATCAAACCTGGCCACATACATGGCAAATGTCTCACCCCTGTACTATCTCTTAGGCTCCCAGCCCAGGCTCTAAAGTAGAACTTGCCTTCTGTCCAAAACAAAAGAAAACATTCTGCCAGGTTTTTTAAATTAATTAATTAATTAATTTTGCTTTTTGGGTTACACCCGGCAATGGTCGGGGGTTACTCCTGGCTCTGCACTCAGGAATGACTCCTGGCGGTGCTCAGGTGACCATATGGGATGTGGGTGATCAAACCTGGGTCGACTGAATGCAAGGCAAATGTCCTCTCCACCCCATTGCTCCAGCCCAAGTTTTGGTTATAATGGCACCTGGGATGCTGGGGAAGACCCCCTGTCCCCCCTTCCACCGGCCAGCTGCAGGCAAGAATCTCCCTTTGCCACCTGCAGGGCATATGTTCTGCTTCCCATCTTGGGAGGAAAAGAAAGATAAAGCTTCTAGGACCCTGGGAGTGACCTTTCCCTCCCGGAGACACAGGTATGGCTTTTCCCTGTCTTTCCTTGTCTATGCCGAGACACCCCAACTCCCCAGCCCCTTGTCTCGAGGAGTGCTTCACGGCAAAAGCCCCTCTACCTCCTTCCTGGGAAGGTCTGACCCCTATTCAGGCGATGGGGTGGGGCCTGAGAAACCGCAAGGCAGCAGACCTGAGGCAGTGACATGTGTCCCTGGACAGGTATCTCTGGAAGGCGGGGCCGAGAGCCTGCCGGCTGCCAGCCTATGCCAGGCAGGGTCCTTTCAATACCCAGGGGCCGGGCCCTCCCCCAGGCCTTCCCGGCAATCTCCAGAGAACCGAGAACCCGTTGCCCGAGTGTCTCTCCTTCTGACTTGATAAAGAACCGGCTTGGGTCTGGGCAGGTATGGAATTGCACGGGTTTGAGAGTGGCAGAGCTGCTCCTTCCCCCTCCCCGTGGCTGCAGCCTGCCCGCCTCCCAGCCCCCCTTCCAGTCCCTCAGCCCCAGCTGCTGGACTTGTCTTGGGTGTCTCTCTCCCCGTGCCTCCCTGCCCCCCTTCCAAGCTCCTGCCCCTGCCACAGCCGGCTTGGCCCGGGCTGTGCATCATGTGGATCAGTGGTAATAACTAACTTGCAGTTCTGCTGTGGTTTCCCACCGGCGCTGCCGCCCTGCCAGGCCGGGCAGCTCCTCCCGCTCAGGGGAGTGCCCTTGGATGGCGGGAGCCAGAAGGCTGCCAGGAAAGGGGGCTCATGGGCCCTGCAACTCAGAACTCAGGGTGGGCATTGCCTGGCTCTGTGCCCGTGTGTCAGGTGATCATTGAGCTGCCGCCCCAGGGAAACTGATTCCATGTTAAGTGTCATAGCCGAGGCGCGGCCACTGAGTGCAGGTGAGCTGCCCAGGAGAGCGGGCCCAGGGCCCTGGTGGAGCGCGGGCGGCCGCGTAAGGATGTGGCCGCCGGGAGAATGACAAACGGAGGAAGCACCTCCGAGCATGAGCGATTTCAGGAATGGCATTTCTTGTCACCGAGTGCGACAGCTGCCCCCCTCCCCTCCCCACCCCCTCCTTTTACTTCCTTCCTTCTGCTTTTGGGGAAGAGGTGGTCCCCGTTGCAGATCGCTTTTCCTTTGGTGCACTCCAGAAAGGAAGCGTGTCCGAGGGCCGCTGAGTCACCATCCCTGGAGCTGCCTCTGAGGGGCCTGCTGGGAGTTCCCGGCCGTGAGGGGACCTGGAGGCTCGGCAGGCCGCCCTGCACTGTCAGCTTCGTCCGTGAGCTCGAAGGGCCACTTCCCACCCCGACCTCGTATTCACGGACACCTCATCTTGTGACTGTGAGGGGTCGCGGCCCCGGGTGGGCCCTACCTTGTGTGTCCCAACCATCCAGGTGGAGGGGCGGGGGTGAGGGGCTCAGTGCTAGTCGTGAACATTCGGTCTGTGGTGGTGTCTTTTAGGTGGTGGATGAGTCTTCCAGAGGCCTCGGGAGCTAGCCCACCCCTCCCCTGCTAAAGTTCCGAAACTTATAAAAAAGAGTCAAGTGTGCGCCACTACCGAGCGGCTCAGGCGCCCGTGCACCAGCTGTTGGGGGGTGGTCCTGGTGCCCCGTGTCTGTCTCTGCCCGCCCCCGCCTCCCCATGCTCTCTGCCCACTGCCCTCTGCCAGCAGCCCTGGAACTGAGGTCTCTGTTTCCCGGGGAAGTTGGCAGCTGCCCGCCCGCAGAGCTCCGGCGCTGGTGTGTGTTTGGTGTTTTAATGTGCGTGAGACTTGTGGCCCCTCAGGACTGAGGGAAGGGGGTGGTGGGGGGTTTGGGAGCGAAGCCAGGCTTTGATTCCAGTGCACCTGCACCCTCGGCCCCAGAAGCGGGGGTGGGCGGTGGGGGGGGGGACCCATCCTGCAACTTGCCGGACAAAATGGTGGTTTGATGGTGGTTTGAAGTGGCCAGCTGCTCCTCAGGGGCCAGGAGGTGGCCGAGCACCTGGTCCGAGGCAGGCCGGGTGCCCGTCGCATGTGGGCTGGGCAGCCAGGGGCTTACTGAGTCCCGAGCCTGGTGGTGGTGGGGGGCAGGGGTGCCCCCTTTCCCCCGCCCTGCGGTTGCGGAGGAGAGAGGTTGAAGGGAAGAGTTCCCAGGGAGGACACGGGATCTGGGGGGTGTGACGGCCCCCCTGGCTCACCCTACGCTTCTGGCTTCTCTCGCAGTTGGAGGGCCCCTCCTCACTAAGTGCCTCTTCGCGTCGCACCGGTCCCCGCCCCCACGCTCACTGGTACCCCGACAGCAACACGGGCCATGGCGGGTCGGGGAGGCGCAGCACGCCCCAATGGACCAGCCGCTGGGAACAAGATCTGCCAGTTCAAGCTGGTCCTGCTTGGGGAGTCGGCGGTGGGCAAATCCAGCCTCGTCCTCCGCTTCGTCAAGGGGCAGTTCCACGAGTACCAGGAGAGCACGATCGGAGGTGAGTGGCGTCCCATGCCTGGAGGACTGAGGAGGGTCCGGCAGCCACAACCACCCCAAGTCCCCAGGAAGCGTGCTCTGTCCGGGGCGGGGGCGGGGGGTACCCAGACACTTGGCCCTCTGGGTGACCCATGCAGCCCTGGCCTCTCCCGCCTTGCCTTTCAAGGCCCACCGGGACCCGTTGCTGAGCTTCCAGGTTGCGAGGGGCTGGCTTCAGCCTCCTGCCTCAGTGGCCTGGACAGGCTTCGAGGAGCCAGGGCTGGCTTTGCCCGGAGGCTCCTCTCGCCCCTCTCCTGGCAGGAGGTTTCCGCAAGAGACAAGGGGCCGTGTCAGCAGTCTGGGCTGCCGCCTCAGCACAGGGCTGGGTGCTGGCGAGGGGGAAGTGAGGCAGGGGAGGGCAGCCAGGAAAGCGGGCTTTGTGTGCGGGCTCCCACACGGGGGCACCCTGGCCCCCAACCTCTGCAAGCCTGGAGAGGGTCCCCGTGTTCCCTGTCGGCCTGCCACCCAGAGGCAGCCAGGAATGAGACTGGCTTGGTGGCCAGTCAACTCTCAGGGCTGCAGGCTTGCCGGGGAAACTGGCCCCTCGGCTTCCGCCTGGCTGGGGAACAGCCTGTACTTGCAGGCACCTAGTGTCACCAAGCACGTGAGCATGTCTTCAGGAAGCCAAGGGCAGTGACGCCTGGGGCTGGAGACTAAGGAGGCTTCGGCTTCCATCTGGAAGTTGCTTTCTGGGTGGGGGGGGGGGGGGAGCAGGTGGTCGCCCACCTGTCTGAGCTGGGAGTCCAGTTTCCCTGCTCTTGCCCACCAGCTCTGTCTGTGTCCCTCTCCACCGAGGGGTGGTGTGGGGGGCTTGGCTGCCAGCAGGCTGCTTTCCAGCTATAGCCTTTGCCTGGTAGTTGGGGCGTGTAGGGGGTTATGAAGTGAAGTGAGCCCTAGTCCCCCTCGTCGGGCACATGAAATGCCACTTCTGCTGGCTCGGCCACCAGACCGGGGCTTGTCTGGGCCCATCAGCAGGTCTTAGAGGGCCGCTCTGGGGGTGAGGGGTGGGGTCACTCCCCAGTGATCTCTGAGACGGTAACCCCGCCTTTCCTCTCACAGCGGCCTTCCTGACACAGACTGTCTGCTTGGACGACACAACAGTCAAGTTTGAGATCTGGGACACGGCGGGGCAGGAGCGGTATCACAGCCTGGCCCCCATGTACTACCGGGGGGCCCAGGCCGCCATTGTGGTCTACGACATCACCAACACAGTAAAGACCCATCCCCCCCGGGGTGCCCTTGGTTCCTGGGCGGGGTCGGGCCAACGTCCTTTCCCCAGCATGTCCCGGCGCTGCCCACCGCTGGGCGTGGGCAGAGACCTCTTCTCTTCCTGTCCTTCCCACACGCCCTCCCTGTCTCCCCAGGACACGTTTGCACGGGCCAAGAACTGGGTGAAGGAGTTACAGAGGCAGGCGAGCCCCAACATCGTCATCGCACTTGCGGGGAACAAGGCTGACCTGGCCAGCAAGCGAGCTGTGGAGTTCCAGGTGGGGACACGGACGGGCCTCCAGGGGAGGGGACGGTCAGCTCCACCGGGCGTCCATGACAGCTCATGGGCTTGGGGTGCGGCCTGGCCACCTGGAGGGCCGAGGAGGGCGTGGAGCTGCCCGTAAGCCAAGCGGGGGCAGCGTCTGCTTCTCCCTGCTTCCCCATGTGGGGCAGGGCACTCCGGCTTCCTGGCGACCATTGGAACCGGCTGCTCCGCCCATGTCCTCTAGGCCCACAGACTGCTGTCCTGGGGAATTTGTATAAGGGGAAACAGTGAAATGTCAGTCCTGGACCCTCGAAATCCAGTCTACCCCCGATGTCCTCACACCCCTTAGCTTTCCAGCAATGTAGCTATGTGTAACCGCCCCCCCCCCCCATACTCTCTGCGGCATGGCGTGTGGTCTGCGCACTGTGTTCTCACGAGTTTTCGCTGTATCCTCATTGCAGTACATGGCAACGTTTTTTTTGCAAAAAAGAAAAAAAAAGAGGTGTGACTATTCTGTACTGCTTTTTTTTTTTTTAAGATTCACAGACTGGGCTGGAGAAATAGTGCAGGGGTAAAGGCTCTTGTATTACATGGAGCCCACCCTGGTTTGATCCCCAGCACCACATAGTCCCCTGGCACTGCCGGATGTGGCCTAAACCCAACTGTCCCCCACCTCCACCCCACCCACCAAACAAAACACACCAAAATAAGGAAGGTCATAAAACAATTTTGGACTGAAAAAACTGGGTTGCTTGTAAGGCAGGTTGGGAAAACAGATGTTGTCAGCAGCCGCGTTCTCCAGTGCTCACATCCAGATGTGCGAGGCGTGTCTTTATAGGAGAGCCGCCCAGAAATGCTTCCCCTGCTAGTGATCTTGAAGAGTGGGAGGGCTGAGGGAAACATCTGATGCACATGCAGGACAACAGCCGGATGGGAAGTGGGACGCTGAGGGTGTGGGGCAGGAATTTCCGGGGAACCCAGAGCAGGAGAGCCTCGGGCCCTCACCTGCATCTCTGGTGGGTGATCTGGGATGATTCCGGTCCCCACCCCAGCTCCTGCCAGCTGCCAGCATTTCCTGCCCTCCAACTTGCTCCACTCTTTTCTGTTCAGGAAGCGCAAGCCTATGCAGATGACAACAGTTTGCTGTTCATGGAGACCTCAGCAAAAACCGCCATGAACGTGAATGAGATTTTCATGGCGATAGGTAAGTTCTTTCTCCTCCTCATATCACTTGCATGTATCGCTGTGGCCAGTTTGTAGTTCCTTCACTGATTGGTCATCCACTTTTTTTTTTTTTTGCTCTTTGGGTCACACCCAGAGATGCTCAGGGGTTGCTCCTGGCTCTGCACTCAGGGATTACTCCTGGCAGTGCTGGGGGATCATATAGGATGCTGGGGATCAAACCCGGGTCGGCCGCATAAAAGGCAAATGCCCTACCCGCTGTCCTATCGCTCTGGCCCAGTCATCCACATAGTTTGTAGCCATGGGCTGATACAGGCACGTGCTCCACCACCGAACCCATCCTTGGCCCACTTTCATCTTTATGTGGGGGTTGGAATAGGGGCCAGTCCAGTGATTCTTGGCCAGTTGGGTTGGTGGTTCCATGTGAGGGCCCAAGATGTGATGTACCTTGGTTCCTGTGGCGTTGGGGGTTACCCAGGCCACAGTGAGGGTGCTCAGTGGCCTCGAGGGCTGCACCCAGCAGAGCTAGAGAGTAAGGGAGGTTTTTCAGGGCTGCACCTGTGATGCTTGAGGGCATGAGACTGTAACACCTCTATTACCTCCCACCCCCACCTCTTTCACCAGTTTTTTGGGGGGAGGGGAGGTTTTGGGTCACACCCAGTGATACTCAGGGGTTACTCTTGGTGGTGCTCAGGGAATCATATGGGATGCTTGGAATCGAACCTGGGTTGGCCATGTGCAAGGCAAATACCCTACCCGCTGTACTATTACTCTGGCCCTGGTCTCATAAGGTCGTATTTATCGTATTCAGTTTACTAGAGAAGTCTCTGAAGTTTTTGCCTAAGCTTCACCCTGTCACTTCTGAGCTTTTAGCTTGCTACCCCCATTTAAAAAAAAATCTTCATATGGCCGTCCTCCTACCCATTTCAGACAGGGGGATCTGAGAGAGATTGTACAGCAGTTTCTGTACAAGACATTGTACATTTTTTGGGGGGGCCCACACCTAGTGGATGGAGCCCAGGGTTTACTCCTGGCTCTGTGCTCAGGGATCACCACTGGTGGGCTACCGGGGAGCAAAACTGGGTGCATGCAGGGCAAGTGCTCTCCGCGCTATACAGTCTCTCCAGACCCCGCTACCCATTACTTAGGATCATTTTGTTTCAGCTCTTTTGGTTCCGTAGTTTAGCCTGGCTGGATTTGAGTCTTGGTTCTGCCACTTAGTAACTCTGGTCTTGGCAGATTATTGACCTTCATGTTCCCTCTCTGACACTCAGGGTGCCCCAGGCTCCCAGAAGCTCCCAGAACATTCTCACTGCGCCAAGTACATGGGCAAGAACCTTCTCAAGTGGATTTGGGAGTATCGGGAGCCCCCACAAATGCATTTCCCCCTTGCCTCCCACACAGCCAAGAAGCTCCCCAAGAACGAGCCCCAGAACACTGCAGGTGCTCCAGGCCGGAACCGCGGCGTGGACCTCCAGGAGAGTAACCCAGCCAGCCGGAGCCAGTGCTGCAGCAACTGAGCCCCCTCAACTGCCCACCGCCCCCTCCTCCTCGGCCTGAACAACCCGACTGGAATCTACTCTAACCAATCGCACTTAATGACTCGGGCCGCCACTGGGGGCAGGGGAGGGCTCCACCATTGATTTCTCCATAGAATCTTGCTCATAGGCCGGAGTGAGTTATCCACCTGCACCTTTCTGTACAAATACTAATTCAATTTTAAGTCTTAAGTCACTTTTTTAATATATATGATCTTCTGCTCTTCCCACCTCCTGCCCTTTTACTGCTCTCCCACTTTTCCTCTGCTGGTTGTAGTAGCAAGGGGCTCCCAAGCCCCCCACCCTTATAAAGTGGGGGTGGGGGCTCAGAGCAGTCACCTCTTCCTTTCCCTGTTGCTGGCACGCAGACTCAGCAGGAGCGCCCCTAACTTTCCTGTGTTGGGAGCGGGCTGGGTTCTGAGCCAGGGTGCGGGGAGGGGGCAGGCCGCAGGGGCCGGAGAGGAGGCGGCGCTGTTCGCGGCCGGCTGTGTCCCCTCCTACCCCAGCCAGGAGGGGCCACCGCATCACCACAGCATTACCGGGACCGACCGCCATGAACCCGTGCCCTCCCCCCCACCCCGCGTCCTTGGTCTTCCTGACCTCTGGCTCTGAGCCCTGTTCTGACCAAATCACAATGATGAGTATTTGGGGGTGGGGTGGGGAGGGGGGGAGCGGGTGGGGTTGGAACCAACTTTTTCTGTATTTTGTATTGTATGTTTTCTTCAACATGTAACCAATCAGTATCTTGTCAATATAGTCAGCCGATCGATCGACCTCCAGCTTGTCTCCCTTGTCTTTCTCTGGCTGAGTTTCTCAGAGCAAGTCCCCTCTGGCTTACTGGACACCCAGAGGGAGGGGGCACCTGTGGTCACAGGAACCAAGAAAAAGGGGCCTTCACAGTTCCCAGCAGGGGTGGGTGGTCTACAACTGATGGAGGCCAGTTCTCACCAAGTTAGAGGGTCCGACAGTTTCCTCACCCCGTCACCTTCTACATCTCCCTGGGGCAGCAGCTATCTGTCTCTGAGAGTGATCAGCCTCCGGAACAACCCCTCTGGGCTTTGGGTCACTCTGTGCCAGACCCCGGAGGGACAGGTCCCACCAGCCTGTTCCCTGAAGAGGAAAGAACACAAAGGCCTCGGAGCTGGCTTGGTCTTTTTGTTTTGGGGCCACAGCTGGCGGTGCACAGGGCTGTCTCCTGGCTACATACTCAGGGAATCACTCCTGGTGGTGCTTGGGGGAGTCCTATGGGGTACTGGGAATTTAACCCGGGTCAGATGAATGCAAGACAAATGCCCCTCCGTGCTGTACTCAGCCCCAGGATTGGTCTCGTGGCTGAGCCCAGCACCTGGCTTTCATCTCCACACCTATTCACAGCTGCATGCCCAGCAGGGTCCTCCCTCACCCCCTGTTCCCAGGGGCCACACTGCCCACCTCTGCCACAAAAGGCCTGTTTCTGGGGGCCCTCTCCTTCTCGTCTGACCCCCCCCAAGAAAAATCTCAGGGACACCAAGGCTGCGGCTGCTCTCTACAGCTGTTTATTGGGTGAGGCTAGTGATGGATCCTCCGGGCACCCTGGCGTCTGAGTCCCGGGGAGTGGCCTACATGTCCTTGGGCTGAAGGGGTGGCCTGCTGCGGCAGGCGGCAGGGGCCGTGGAAGCACAGCTGGCCGGAGGGCGACATGTTGCAGGTCATTGAGGTGGGGTCCAGGTCCGGGGGCAGCTGCACTTGCTGGTGAACCTGGTGGCACACGAGGAAGGCGCCCCCGCTGCCGTCGTTGTGCTGCAGCTGCCGCTCGCCGGTCACTGTCAGGTTCTGGCCGTCCACCTGCACACACAGCTCCTCGGGGGCGAAGCCCTGCGTGTCCATCTTCATCAGGAAGCTGGGGTCTGCGCACACATCTTCCCTCAGGGTGTCAGGCGGCTCACACTGCAGCTGTGAGGGTAGCACGGGGTCCGAAGGGGCTACGCTGGGACACTGGGGAAGCCCCTGGCCCTCCTTGAAGGCCCCAACATGGCCCCGCCACATCGAGAGAGCAACTGCTGTTTGTTGAGGGGGGCAGCGCGCGCGGCGTGTCCCCGCGGAGGGGGCGGGCGGCCCCGGCGCGTGCGGCTCCCGGGCCGCGCGGGGGCGCTGGCGAGTCGCCACCGGCTGCTGACCTCATCCGCCCGACCCAAGCAAGCGTGTCCCCGGCCTGAGCCCGGGGACTCCAGGCACCAGTGTAGACAGATCACATTGAGCCTCCTGGCGCGGCTCCGGAGAATCAGGCTGCGGGGGCGGAACAGCCACCGGAGTGTGACCTGCCTTCCCTGACATTGGCAACATCCTGTGACTCCGCAGGGCATGAGAGATGGACATGCCCTCCAGCTGGGCCCCGTGGGAAGGTTCGGGCAGGGCTGGGGAAGCGCCTCTCATCCCCCATCTCTACACAGGACTCTGCAACCTCGGCCAAGTGCTCTTACAGCAGACGTTTAGATCGAATGCGTACATACCAAAAAAAGGGAAAAAAAGGCATGAAAGGGTACTCTGGTAAATACTTTATTTCGCAGCTGTAATTCTGTGTCCGGAGCCATGGGACAGAGCCTCTACCGAGTTGAGGATAGGAGGGGCCCCTGATCTCGGTCTGGACCCTGAGCTTCCACCTTTCCGCTTGGAGGGTGGCCTGAGTTCAGAATTTCCCCCAAACTGAAGCTGCTTCTCTGGGATGCTTCTCAGGTCCCCAAGAAGACAGCAATCTTCAACTGTCCCAGAAGCCTTCCACGAAAGATCATAGATGAGGAGGGGTCATTTCCGGGATGCTGGACCGGGTCTCTCACCCGGCTGCTTGGGACCAAGACACAGGATGGAAAAGTCTGGAAGCGGGGAAGCCAAGGGCGAGGCCGCGGTAGACTACATTTCCCATCATGCTCCGATGCAGCGACGCATGCGCACTGGGCGCCGGTTGCCCATGCGGCCCTAGGGCTGGGAGCGCCGAGCTGCGCTCCGCTGCGGGGGAGGCCATGGCGGAACCTTCCCAGGCCTCGACCCCGGCCCCAGCCTCGCAGCCTCGGCCCCTTCAGTCCCCGGCCCCTGCCCCGACTCCGACTCCTACCCCCAGCCCGGCTTCCGCCCCGACTCCGGCTCCCACTCCGGCACCAGCCCCAGCCCCAGCTGCAAACCCAGCTGGGAGCACAGGGACTGGGGGGCCCGGGGTAGGAAGTGGGGGAACCGGCAGCGGGGGGGATCCGGCTCGACCTGGCCTGAGCCAGCAGCAGCGCGCCAGCCAAAGGAAGGCGCAAGTCCGGGGTCTGCCGCGCGCCAAGAAGCTGGAGAAGCTCGGGGTCTTCTCGGCTTGCAAGGTGGGGGCGGGGCCTGGGGCCAAGGGGGCGGGGCTTGGGGCAGACTTGGGCTCGGGTGGGAATGGGGGCGAAGCTGCGGCGAGGGAGCGGCTTCACGTTGCTGGGAGACAGGTTCATTGATGGAGCTTTCTGCCCTCAGGCCAATGAAACGTGCAAGTGTAATGGCTGGAAAAACCCCAAGCCCCCCACGGCACCTCGCATGGATCTGCAGCAGCCGGCTGCCAACCTGAGCGAGCTGTGCCGCAGCTGTGAACATCCCTTGGGTAAGGCACGTCAGACCCTTCTAACTGGGCGGGGAGTGGGGAGCAGGTGCTGGGTGGGCGGCTTCAGGATGACCAAGCCTCGTGTCTGAACAAAAAAGACATCCTAGGGGCCTGCTCTTCAAGTCGGTGTTCTCTCTTCAACATTTACATTGCTCTCTCCCCTTTTTTGGGGGAGGGGGGCAGAGGACAGCACCGAGCAATGTTCAAGGGTTACTCCTGACTCCTGGCCCCCTTTTCTTTGCTTGTTTACTTCCTTCTGAGACTCTAGAGAAGCCTGTGTTCTCTGTTGAATACATATTTCCCCTCTTTCTTCTCACATCTTTCTAAACAGGTTTCAGTCAATAAAAACTACCTTGCTTTGGGGCTGGAGGGATAGATAGTACAGCAGGCACTTGCTTTACATGCAGCCAACTGGGGTTGGGTCCCCAGTACCACATTTGGCCCCCTGAGCCTGCTAGGAGCCATCCCTGGGCAGAGCCCTGCTATAAACTACCTCGCTTCACTAAAGGGAAAAAAAAAAAGTCCTAAGGTTGGATTGGGCTGGGGGGTTCCTATGCCCCACAGGAGGAGAAGAAAATCTGCTGGCTAAGAAGAGACAAGGACCCACCTAGGCAGGGGCACGCAGCATGGAGGCGCCGAGGGGCAGGCCATGAAGGGGGGCCGGAAGCCCTGTTGGTTTCTTCTGTCTTTCCCCACTCTGCTATCTGTCCTCCTTGCAGCCGACCACGTGTCCCACCTCGAGAATGTGTCAGAGGATGAGATCAACCGGCTACTGGGGATGGTGGTGGACGTGGAGAATCTGTTCATGTCTGTGCACAAGGAGGAAGACACGGACACCAAGCAGGTCTATTTCTACCTCTTCAAGGTGAGTTGGACTTGGGTCATGGGAACTCATGCTGCACCCAGGGGAGTCCCAGGTTTGATCCTGGTACCACCGGGTCCCCTACGCAACTTGGTGGGACTAGCCCCTGCGCACCGCCAGGGTCTAGCCCACACATGGGATCTAGCTGTGAGGAGGGGGCAGAGGAGATGAAGGAGTGTGGGGTACTCAGCTCTTCTCCCTCTGACCTCTCCCCCTCTTCCCCTTCTTCCAGCTCCTGCGGAAGTGCATCCTGCAGATGACCCGGCCCGTGGTGGAAGGGTCCCTGGGCAGCCCCCCATTTGAGAAACCCAACATTGAGCAGGTGGGATATGGAAGGTGGCAGGAGAACAGGGGGTGCAGGGTGGAATGGGGTGCCCCTGCTTCGCCCTTTCAGAGCGGCAAGCTGGGGAGGTAATGGGAGTGTGCTGAATGGCCGCGCTGGCCTCAGAGCTGTTCTGGGTGCTGCCATCAGGAAGCACCTTCTGTGGGCAGAGAAGCTGCGCCTGGCTGCTCACACCTCCCTCTGGGTTTTGTACCCCGCCCACCCCTTTTCAGGGTGTGCTGAACTTTGTGCAGTACAAGTTTAGTCACCTGGCCCCCCGGGAGCGCCAGACCATGTTCGAGCTCTCCAAGATGTTTCTGCTCTGCCTTAACTACTGGAAGCTCGAGACGCCAGCCCAGTTCCGGCAGCGGTCCCAGGCAGAGGACGTGGCCACCTACAAGGTCAACTACACCAGGTAGGCCTGGTCCTTGTCTGCCGGAGGCGGCTGATAGGCCCGGTGGGGTTGGGGAAGGGACCCACTGGTGCCACCACTATGCTGTCCACAGGTGGCTCTGCTATTGCCACGTGCCCCAGAGCTGTGACAGCCTGCCCCGGTACGAGACCACGCACGTGTTCGGCCGGGGCCTCCTCCGCTCCATCTTCACCGTCACGCGCCGGCAGCTACTGGAGAAGTTCCGGGTGGAGAAGGACAAACTGGTGCCCGAGAAGAGGACCCTCATCCTCACCCACTTCCCCAAGTAATGCTCTTTCGGGAGTGGTACCCCGCAATCAGCCTTCCTGTGTGCCGCTGAGCTGCCAGTACCGAGCCCTCGTAGACTTGCCATGGTCCAGACGCTGTGGGCCGGACTCTCCCTTCGCCTGGCTGGTCTGGGGGTGGCAAGAACATTGCCTGACTGGTACCACCCACATCCACACCCGGGGAAGGGGGTGGGGGCGGGGACATTACTGGCTCTTTCCCACGGGGCACCAGGCTCCTTCCTGCCTCAGCACTTGGAGAAACAGCTTTCTCGGTAGTGAAACTGATCTCTGGCCCTGTTCTAGTCCTTTCTCTGGCATTCTCCTGCCTTATTTCTCACCTTCCTCTTTCCATCCTGGCTCAGGGCTGCCCAACTCACAGGCTTGCTGTGTAATCTGGGCCCACTCATACCCCTGGTGCTGCCGAGTAGGAGTAACGGGGGCAGAGGTCAGGGTAGGTTTTGAGGTCTGTTTGGATCCTGAGACCCACCCAGGGTGACCGACCACACACACACACACACACACACACACAACACAGGCCACCTTTGGTCCAGACCCTGCCTGCCTGCCTGCCCCGCCTCCCCCCACCACATACACACAGAGCACAGGCCACTGTTGGTCCAGACTTTGCCTACCCAGACACACACACACACACACACACACACACACACATACAGAGCACAGGCCAACTTTGGTCCAGACCCTGCCTGCCTGCCTGCCCCCCCACCCCCCACACAGAGCACAGCCCACTGTTGGTCCAGACTTTGCCTGCCCAGACACACACACACACACACACACACCCCACAGGCCACTGTTGGTCCAGACACACACACACACACACACACACACACACCACAGGCCACTGTTGGTCCAGACTTTGCCTGCCCAGACACACACACACACACACACACACACACACACCCCACAGGCCACTGTTGGTCCAGACACACACACACACACACACACACACACACACACACACACCACAGGCCACTGTTGGTCCAGACTTTGCCTGCCCAGATACACACACACAGAGGCCATTGTTGGTCCGGACCCTGTCTGCCTGCCCTGGGTTTCTGCCACAGATTATCCAAAACTCCCCGAGATGGGGGCTGCTGTCTGGAGCCAGAGGCTGTTCAATTCCCAGGCCCCCAGTTCCCTGGCTCTCTTACCCGCCTCCAGAGAGTTTCTAGAACATTGTGCCCTCCCACAGGTTTCTGTCTATGCTGGAGGAGGAGATCTACGGGGCCAACTCGCCTATCTGGGAGTCGGGCTTCACCATGCCGCCATCCGAGGGGACCCAGCTGGTACCCCGGCCAGGTATGCTCCGTGGCAGACCACGCCTGGCCCCCACTGGGACAGGAAATCCCAGGGGTGGGATCCAATGGGGCACTTGGGGCCCCCACACCCCTGTTTCCTGCTTTTCCTCTCAGCGACGGTCAGTGCCGCGGTGGTTCCCAGCACCCCCATCTTCAGCCCCGCCATGGGTGGGGGCAGCAACAGCTCCTTGAGCCTGGATTCTGGAGGGGCCGAGCCCATGCCAGGTG